CTCTTCTTGGCTGTCAGCTCAGCATTGATCTCTTCCTCATCCTCAGCTCTCTCGGTCACCTCTTTGATTTTAGCCTCAAGCTGGAATTTGGCTTTGATCAGCTGGTCACATCTTTCCTCAGCATCCAACAAGTTTTCACTTTCCTTAAAAGAAAATCATAATTCTCTTTAAGGAGATAAGGTTTGTGGCATTTTAGTAACTTGTTCTATATGAAGTCCTTTTTGAAGAATTCTATCAAAAAATCAGAACTCCCCACCCTTAATCTAGCTTTCCTACACACATAATCAAATCTAGGAGAATTAAAAAAAAAAAGATTCCTAGACACATACCGCTTGTACTTGTAGCTGCAAGTCATTCTTTTCTTGTACTAGAGTCACCAGCTTTTCTTCTAGCTCCTTCCTTTTTGCCTCTGACTTGGCAAGCTCATCTTTGGTTTTCTGGAACTCTTCCTTCATGGTGGCCATCTCCTTTTCAGTTTCTGCACTCTTCAGCAAGGGCTTGATCTTGAAGAAGAGTTTCATCCAGGGCCAGTGCTTGACGTTCATGAAGGAGCGGATGTTATATTGGATGCAGAAGATGGACTCCCTAAAAACAAAGCATTGCTTATTCCTAAAATAGGCTCCCCCTTTCCCCAAAGAGCTCGTGTTTGAAAAAGACCCTGCTTGACCTTCTCTGCACCATCTTCTGGAATTCCACACGCATGAGAAACCCTCTGCACACAGCTTGCGTCCGAGTGATCAGTTTGGCCAGGCGGTCATCCCGCATCTCTTCCAGGGTACCCAACAAACCTGCCTTGAAGAACACCTTAGAGAGGAGATGGGTAAAATGAGTCTGTTGTCTGGAGAGGTTGTGTTAGGAAGATGAAAAGGCCAGCCTGTGTAGAATTGATGCATGTACCTTGGTGTGTCCAAATTTGTACTGAGTGTGGTCAATATCAATGGATGCCAGGAGTTTTTCACAAGCTTTCTTGCTGTCAATGAATTGTCCCTCAGGGATGGCGCTGGCATTCAGCACTCGGTATCTGTCATTGTAAACACAGAAATAATCATTGGCTGTTGGCAAAGACACAACCCCAGCGAGTTCAGGTCTCTCTTCCTTTCCTACAAGCAACAAAGCCAAGATCCCAAGAGTTGAAGTGACCTGCCCATAATCACACTGCTACACAGTAGCCTGGAATTTAGGCTTCGGGACTCTTAGGCCAGGACGTTTTCCTGCCATTTTATATATCAGATAAGTTCCTGAGCAAAACATGGAAGAATCAAGTATATATATCTTGACTAAGTGGTAGGTTATTTATTTTACAGGGAAGTCCTGTAAAAGATCCATTTTGAAATGGATCTTTTCACACCAATTTCTCTTCCTCCAATTCCAGTGTTTGCATAGCTCAAGAAGAATGTAAAACATTTTTATTACACACCTTTGTTTAAAATCCCCATAGAGAATCCTATTGGGGAATCCTTTCCTACAGATGCGGATGCCTTCCAGGACACCATTACACCGCAGCTGGTGCAGGACCAGGCTGTGCTCCATAGCCCCTGAGAACACAGGCGAGACACATCAGCTTCACACAAAATGCCTCCCACACTGAGCACCTCCAGAGAGCTGGCGGGTGTTGGGTCTCACCTGGGGTCTTGGTTTCATTGGGAATTATACAACGCACAAAGTGAGGGTGAGTGGTTCTTAAATTGGACATCAACTTGTTCAGGTTTTCCTAAAAGACAAAGATTAAATTTGACAGCATACTGGAGGCTTTTACAAAGGCAGAGATATAGAGATATATTGTAATGAAAAATAACATGTTTTAAATTCATCACAAATTCTAAAGAATAGCCTTATAGCTGGAGGTATAGGCAGATGACTGATACAGGTTGAACAACTCTAACCAGAAAGTCTTAAATCTGAAATGCTCCAAAATCTGAAACTTTCTGAGTGCCAACATGACACCACAAGTGGAAAATTCCTCACCTGACCTCATGTTATAGACAGAGCACAGAAGCACTACAAATGCTGTGCACAATTACCTTCAGTCTACATGCATAAGATAAAGATGAAATGGTCCCATCCTCCCAAGTCTCATTATGTATGTGAAATAGTCCCAAAATCTGAAATCTGAAATATTCTGGTTCTAAGTACTTCAGGTAAGAGAAGTTCAAGCTGTCTCTGTCGTTTGCCTCACCGTGAGCCAGAGGCTCATCAAGCACGGAATGCCTTCTGAAATCAGCCAGGAGCCTGAAGTGCTGCCATGATCTTAAGGCTGGTTGGAGAGTTACTACTGGGAATTCACCTCCCAGGCCAGTCAACCCAGCTAGATGCAGCACAAAATGACAATTAATTCTGCTCCTGCATTTGTTAGACCTCATTTATTCATCATACTGTCATTCGGCTCATTCAGAGATAGCAATTAGAGTCAGACATTTCTACTCTTTTTATCTTTCTTTTATTTAGTTTTGAGGTACTGAGGATTGAACTGAGGGCTTTGTGCATGACTCTTACCACTTAAGTTATGTCCCCAGCCCTTTTTTTTTAAATTTATTTACTTACATATTTTTGGCAGTACTTAAGATTGAACTCAGGACCTAGGGCTTGCTAAGCAAGCACTGTGCCCCTGGAACCAGGTCCCCAGTCCTTTTTGTTTTTAGTTTGTTTTTCAGATAGGCTTTCATGCTTTTGGGGTTGGGCTTGGACTGTGATATTCTTACCTCCCATTTCCCAAGTAGTGGGATTAGAGGTGCTTACCATCATGCCTGGCCCTTATTTTGTTTTTTTGGAAGGGAATCCTGCTAACTTTGCCCTTGCTGGCCTTGAACTCTATCCTCCTACCTCTGCTTCCCAAGTAGCTGGGATTATAGGTATGTATAGCATGCCTGGTAGACATTACTGTTCTTCAATAAATCAAGTTTAGAATCCCTACATTGCTCATGCTGGTATGGCGCAAATGAACTGCAAGCAAATGAACTTGCATTTGTCTTACCCTGAAAAGCGCAGAGACTGTTTGGAAGGAAGAACCCTTCTTCTTGGCAACTTTCTTCTTTCCACTGTCAGCTGTGAGGAACAAAAGAGGACAGGTGTTGTTAGTGCATCTACAAAGTCTTTGGGTTCTGTGGGACAAATGAAGGGTGATCACCCAGGAGCAATGCCCTCCTTGTGTCCAGAGTCAATTACCATCTGCTGTAGCAAAGGTGGCATAGAGGTGTGCCAGGAGCCTGTTGGAGGACTTCTGGTACAGTCCAACCACAGTTTCATTCAAGGGGTCCTTGTTCTTGTCCAGCCAGCCTGAAACACTGTAGTCCACGGTGCCCGCATAGTGAATCAGAGAGAAGTGGGCCTCGGCCTTGCCTTTGACCACCTTGGGCTTCTGGAAGTTAGCAGACTTTCCAATGTGCTGCTCATACAGCTTGTTCTTGAAGGAGGTGTCTGTTGCCTTGGGGAACATGCACTCCTCTTCCAGGATGGAGAAGATGCCCATCGGCTGGATTTGAGGCAAAAGGCATCTGGGTAAACACAAGCAGCCCAGCACATGGGAGTTGGGTACTGAGTGGACGGGTAGGATACCTTCTCTATGAGCTCGATGCAGGCAGCCAGGTCCATCCCAAAGTCAATGAACGTCCACTCGATGCCTTCCTTCTTGTACTCCTCCTGCTCCAGCACGAACATGTGGTGGTTGAAAAACTGTTGCAGTTTCTCATTGGTGAAGTTGATGCACAGCTGCTCCAGGCTGTTATACTGATACCAAGAGATAATGTTCATGTGAAAAGTAAGACTTCTTTCAAAATCAAAGACCCACCAGCACTCCCCTCATGGTCCTAGGTCCCCACCAGCTTATTTATGCTTTTAGAGCTGACCACATTCTTCCAGGCCTGGCTCTGATCTTATCTCTGAAAAGTCATCTCAAAACTTCCTCTTAAATGTGTGTTTCTCCCGCTCCTCAGTTCTCATGGTCATCTTTCATGCACTTATTTTGTGTCACTCTTCTTTGTGCTTTATTGTTTTTCACATTTTAAAACCTTATTATCATATTATTATTGTACTGGGGGTACATTGTGACATTTACAAAAGTGCTTACAATATATCATAGTTGAATTCACCCTTGACATCATTCTCCTTTATTCCCTCCTCTCCCCATTCCTGGAATAGTTTTCACAGGTCTCATTTTTCCATTTTCATACATGCGTACGTAATATTTCCACCATGTTCAGTCTGTTTTTTTTTTTCTTTAACTACAAGCTCATTTCCCACTTGCATGTCTGGTACCTGGTAGACACTAAATATACGCTTTGATGGTCATATGTTTCTGACATAGAACCAATAGAATTATTATCTAAAATAATGCACAGAAGTTAGGGATATCACTCAGCAGTAAAGCTGTTGCTTGGCATGACCAGGCTCTGGGTTCGATCCCCAGAACTGTGTGAAAAATAAAAAAGAAGATAGTGTATGATTTACTTAGTATCAAATTATCTGCTTCTTTCTAGCTCTCCCTAAGTTAGTGACCGCATTTGATTTTTTTTCTTTTATCTATTTGGTGACATCCTTTAAAATTCCACTTAACAGGAGTCTTCTCTGTTAAAATAGTACACACCCTCCCAATCTGGCATTTCTCCTCCACCTGACTCACTTTGCCTAGCTTTCCTACAAGAAGGCCTTCCCTTTAGAATTATAAAAACCCAGGTCCCCATACAAAGATACCTGAAAGTATGAATATAAAAACACAAACCTCAAAGATTTCAAAGCCTGCAATGTCCAAAACACCAATGAAGTGTTGTCTCGGTAGCTTCGTGTCCAGTTGCTGGTTAATCCGCGTGACCATCCACAAAAATAGCTTTTCATAAACGGATTTGGAAAGAGCATTCACAGCATGGTGCACCTGTCCGGGGGAAGGTCAGCAGGTGAGTAGGAAAGCAGTGACCATCAGGGACCTGGGTCCCTTCTTGACCTCAAGGTGTCCCTTACCTGGTCCACAGTTTGACCCTTGGTCACATACTCGTTCCCGACTTTCACTCTGGGGAAGCATAAGGCCTTCAGGAGGTCTGAGGAGTTCAGGCCCATCAGGTAGGCTGTTTTGTCAGCCACTGGTAAGAACAGAAAGACGATGTTCAACACGGTAGAAAAGCCACTTTGAAAACGGCCTGGGTGTTTCAAAGCTGACTTCACCTCGGTATGTTTTGTAAACCCTATCCCTTAAGTGCTTATATGGGGCTAGTGGAAGCTGTCACTCACAGAATATGATAGATTTTTATGACAAAAAGCAGGAATGGGTTCCAGAAAGCCTTAGTCACTTCTTGTTGCATCTGAAACAGAACCATGCTATATATTTACCAAAAGTGGGTAGTGACAGTGCCTATAGGCATCTGAGCCCCAGAAAAAAGTCATTCACCTCTTCAGGTGGAAGAAGGATTAATCACTTTCAAAAAAGGCTCCAAATGATCTCAGCCTTCCAGCTCTGGCCGATGGCCTACTGTGGCCAGTGGGTACCTTCCGTGCCGTCTGGCTCTGCCTGCTCCTCTCGCTGCTTCTGCTTGAATTTCATGTTCCCATAATGCATCACAGCTCCTGTCAACTTGTAGAGTCCGGATTTCTCCTCTGGGGTGAAACCCAGGATGTCAATGGCACTCTGCGATGGAAAGAACAGCCGGTCAGTCCATGGCTCCATGATGATGAGGAGAAGCGACCCCACCTTTCTGTGGCTCCCACTTACGTCTGTAGCCAACAGTTCCTCAGCATCATCAATGCTGGCCACCAGGATTTCACCCTGGCTGATGAATGGGTAGTCGTAAGGGTTGGTTGTAATCAGCAGCAGCTCTGGAAATGATGAATATGTGAGGAGTTGACACAGACACTAGGAAAAATCCACCTAGTGGATTTGAGCTCGCATACCCTGGACTGGGACTTTTACTACTGGAGATGAAATTAAATTTAGAGTTAGAAATCTCCTAGATAGCTTCACATTATTCAGTCTGGGACTAGAAACATAGTCCGGGGGAGGCTTTGCAGTCTCCTGTGCCATGTAGATTAAGAACCCTAGAGAGAATATTTAAATTTTCTTGCTTTACAGATGAATTACACTTGTGAGTTTAGGTTGAGAAATTAATGCAGAAAACTGACTGAGCATGGGCCAGCCCAAATGGAGGGAAGCACAGGTTGTTTGTTATGGTTATATCATAGACTTTTCTAAAATCTGTTGAAAACTGCAGCCTGTTTCCAGGCTGGAGACCAGAAAGCTGAGCAAATACAGCCAGAGAGCAAAGACACTGCACACAGAGGCCTTTGTTAGGTACAGAACTGAATCCACTAGCTGGGCTGTTCATCTGAGTTAGCCCTGGCCTCACAGCATTTGGTGAGAGATTGGTTTCTGTGCCAGACCACAAGGTGGCACTCAATGCTTAGTTGTTCAAAAGGTTTTTATAAACCAGCGTTGAATCTAGTAGTTGGTTCAGTTTTGTTACTACCCATCTGACTCACTTTTTCAAACTGGTATGGTCACTACCCAACTAGCCACATCCCAAGTCTGATATAAACTACTCTGCTGACTGGAAAGTCACCTTCATGTAGATACAAATAGAGCTCAAATGCATGAAAGACCAAGGCCACCGGTGACTTCCCCAACCCCACTTATGACTTCCTCACCGATGAGCTCAGGCTTCTTGTTGGAAAGAATCTGGTAGAAGATGTGATAGCTTCTCTCAGCCTTCAGCTGGAAAGTGACTCTTGACTTTTCCAGCAGATCTGGAAGACAAACATAGGCCACCCTCCAGGCTGTCCCCATGGTGTAGAGCCCTCATAGGATCTTATAAGCGGATCTACTTACAAGTTTCAATATCTGCAGAGGCCAGCTTCCCAGTGGTCCCAAAATGGATTCGGATGAACTTTCCCTGCACAGGGAGGAAAGGGAGATCAGGCCCAGTGGATCCTCCTGACTCCCGGACACTGCTTGTCCCCTGTGGTTTGCACTCAAACATGTCCTCCCCCTTCCCCCTTCTTCCATTTGGTATGTCTGCTTTTTCCTGTTCCTCTTAGTCTGCTTCCTTATTCCTTGCCTATGTCTAGTTAACAAAGCAACTAAGTGATTTTCTTCATCATGTAAGTCAAGCCATGCCACTCCCCTGCTTGTAGAGTCCTTCAGTAGCTCCCGGATATACTTAGAATACAATCCAAACTCCTTTCATGGCCTGTGTTCCCTTACGTGACCAAACCTCTTCCTCTTCTGCCTTGTCTCCTGGGACCTGTCCCCTTGCCACATGCATCCCATCTAGGTCTGTTCAGCACACCAGACACTTCCCCATCTCTGGGATTGTGCTCATGCTTGCCTTTGCCTCTCTTTCTCACAGGGATTTTCAACCAAGCTCCTCCTTACCCAGAGCTCATACCTGCCACCTCCATCTATTGGAGAACTGGCCTCCAGTCACTCTATCACACTCCAGTTTATTGAACCTCCCATGAATGTGTCATGCTTATTCTTCCACCGTCTCTCCCAATTGGTCTCTAAACTCCCTGAGTATATGCCGTCTTGCCACAAAGATCCCACTGCAACTAAACTCAAAACTCACAAAGCGGGAGGAGTTGTCATTCCTCACAGTCTTGGCGTTCCCAAAGGCCTCCAGGAGGGGATTGGCACTGATGATTTGATCTTCCAGAGTCCCCTAATGCCAAAAATTGAGGAAGGAAGGGAAACCATTTATATGAGCAAAAAAATGATGATAAAAAAACAAAAATGCTTACCAGCTCTGTCTCCCTGACTTCCTGGAAGCTGTGGGGAGGCTTGTGCCTCCCTGACTTTGCAATTTGAAGACCCATCCAGTCAACAGCAGACCCTCCTAAAAACCCCCCACCATTCTGGTGTGCTTGACAGTAGTTGGGCCTCTTGACGGGATGTTCCTTTAGCACTTGGTTGCTGGGATAGGTTGTCTGTTTTCATTTCATACTGTTGTGACACATTTGTGTCAAAAGCAAGTATGTGCTGCGGTTCTCTCAGGTTGCTACCTATGATTCTGCCCTAAAAGAACAAGCTTTCTAAGCTGCCCCCAAATTGACCCTTCTCAGTTAATCCCTAGTCCCTTATCTGCTAAGAAATCACAAGATCTGGTCCTGTCAGATCTACTTCACTGCGTTGTCTAAGATGATTTACATCCTAGCCTGCTCTTACAGAGAGGGGAACATTGCAGTATTGGCCTTCTTGTTCTGAAGTTAGGACAGAAGTCAGAAGAGGCAGTAGAGCAAGCCTTCCTCCCCTCCCACCTTCATCTTGGAGTCCTTCTTCTTGGCAAGGTCTCCAGTAGCTGCAATTGTTGCAAAGTACTGGATGACCCGTTTGGTGTTCACAGTCTTTCCTGCCCCAGATTCTCCGCTATTCAGAGGAATGGAAAGAGAAAGAGAAAAAGAAATGAGAGCTGTTAGTATGAATGGGTTCCCAAAGATGCTATCCAAGGGGACTGGATATAGCCTGAACCTGTCAAGCAGATGTGAGAGGCCATGCAGAGGGGCAGAGACCTGGGGAGGAGGCATCAGCCACTTGCTCAGCTGACCCAGGCATGGGTAATTCGGTGTCCTGAGGCCTTGTGAACATCTCTTGCCCATTCCTAAACCTGCCTTTTCACCATACACTGGGTGCCGATTATTTCAATGCTACTGGGATTTGAACTCTGGGGCTTGTGCTTGTTAGGCAAACTCTCTACACTTCAGCCACATCTCCAGCTCTTTTTGTTTCAGTTATTTTTAGAATAATTTCTTGCATTTTTGCCCAGGCTGGCCTGGACTTCGATTCTTCCTATTTATGCCTCTCACATAGCTAGGGTGGCAGGTATACGCCACACCCAGTTTATTGGTAAGATGGGATAACTTCTTTTGCAGGGGCCTTGAACCGTAATCCTCCTAATCTTTGCCTCCTGAGTTTCTGGGATTACAGAAGCATGTCTCCGTGCATGGCCTGTGCCAGATACTTCCCAGTGAACAAATTAGAAAAGTGGCACCTTTGGCCAAAGCTGTGAAAACACTCTATGTGTTAGATACTCACGTGATCAGAATGGACTGGTTTTCACGATCTAGCAAAGGAAAAAATAGAGTTGATGGCAATCGAAAAAGAGCTCCCCAGCGCTATCCCATCTCTCAAGCAGTCAGAGTTAAATTGCACAAGTCCTTTTCCTTTAGCTTTCTTTCAGAGGTGAAGCCCTTGCTGAAAACCAGTGGCTTCTTAGCATATGAGGCTGAACCATCTAAAATTGTCAATCTTTGTTTTTGATTCACAAAGAATGTCAGTTTCCTAGGGTTCAGCCAATTCTTGCATTAAATGCAAAACTCCTCATCCTGGCCTTCAAGACTCTGATTTGACCTCTTCCTGCTTCTTTCACTCCTTCTCCTTCTTTCTCTGGTGCTGGGCACATGAGAGGGGCAGGCCCAAGACTAGGAACAGCAGCCCAAGCCTGCCCAATGCCCACCCCATCTCTCCATGCTTCCTCCTCAGAAACATACCAGTCAGCATGAACTGATAGGCATTGTCAGAGATGGAAAAGATGTGGGGCGGCGCCTCCTGGCGCTTTTTGCCTCGGTAGCCATCCACCACCTCAGGGTTGTACACCGGCAGCCACTTGTAGGGGTTGACAGTGACACAGAAGAGGCCCGAGTAGGTCTGTGGAAGAAAAATAAAATGTGTGTGTGCCTGTCTGTGTGTTTTTCCTTTATAATGGTGTCCAAGTTCTTCTGATAAGCTTTTAAAGGAGGGAAGATGGTTTTATTTATAGATGAGACACAGAGAGGAGACTAGCTGGACCTCCCACATCTAGTTTTTGTGTTTTGATTTTTGAGATAGAATTTCACTGTGTAGCCATGGCTGGATTTGAACTTGGGATCCTCCTGCCTCAGCCTCCTGAGTGCTGGGATCACAGGCGTGCGCCACTACACCTGGCTCCCATCCACCTCTTCTTTTCTCTCTCCTCCCCTGTTTCTTCTCTTTTGCTCTTTTGGTGACAGTCAAAGCCCCACCTCCCACACAAACATCTGTGCCTCCCTCCCCCATCCCACATGTGTCCCAGGAAAGCCAGTGTCACTACTGACATAGATCATCCAGGACGTGTAGCGGTCCTTGAGGTTGTACAGCACTGCTGGCTCATTCAAGTGCGTCAACATCGCCATGTCCTCGATCTTGTCGAACTTGGGAGGGTTCATCGCATACACGTCCTCTGGTTTCACCACCAGGGTCTGAAAGGGGAAAAAGTCACAAGGCTTAGAAGGTATTTGTCACCATGAGGAGACTTGTGCAGATAACTGGTTGATGTTGAGGGAAGACAAGGCTATAGGCAGGTGGGACGGATAGGTTGCACTTGGTGTTGGTTACTCAGGGCTTTGGTATTTTTCCTGTTCAGTGCGTTTGGGGTGAGAAGGTGACAGAAATGAGAAAAGAGGATCTCTGGAAAGGAGGTGGGGGCCGGGGGCTAGCAAGGGGAGCAAACAGGAGCCATTCAGCTCTGACATTCTGACTGCACCATAACCCAGTTCTAACAGCCAAGGGGCTCTTTCCCTTGGCTCAGAGAACACAGCCTGTCCTGAGGCAGGGACAGAAGAGAAAGCAGGGTGGCAATGGATCCCCAGGCTGATGCCCTTGGTGTCACCACATTCAGAGCTTTCTGAAAACAGCTTTCAAAAAGCCCCCACACCCCACATCTTGCCTTTTCCCCACACTTAGGCACACTTAAGAAAGAGCCACCTCAGATGCCCTGTCTGCAGACAGAGGGTTACAAGCTAGGGAAAGCATGAGCCAGGTACCAGACAAAGCAGAGGTTCCCAGCATTGACAATGCTCTTGCACCTCTCTGAGGAAAAACCCCTGCCCCACACCCTTTACTTTCCCTGTGGAGGGCTTGTGGCATTGTGATGGGGCCCATCTCGCCCTGCCCCGCCCACCTCCTTTCTCTGACTACCGGATGACTGATGACCACCTGGTCTCCTTTGCTGGGCCCTGTCTCTGTGCTGTGTGACCTGGAAACCTACCTTTTCTCTGTGTCCCAGCAGGGAGTCAATCGGACCTCCAGCTTTGGGAGCTCATTCTTAGCTTCTTTATCTGACTACCTGGAAAGCCACCTTCTAGGAACTTCAATGTTTGGTGGCACAGCATGGGAGGCGTTAAAGCCTCTTCCTTTACTCAATGACACTATTTCTTTGTCTCCTGGATTTTCTTATGCTCTCTTCTTTTTATTTATTTTATTATTTGTTTTGTTTTTGGAATGTTTCCAAATTCAGAAAGTACTGAAGTCCGAATTCCTTTCACACTCCCGGAATGGCTTGTCCCAGAATGTCGTGGGCTATAATGCTTGTCTCCTTCCTGACACAGGAAGACTGCTATTTCACATTCAGCTTGTGGTCTGCTAGGGTCCCTTACACATTTTTCCTACTTCCTTGGCCATTGCTGGATTTAGGGGAACCTAGGCTACGAAAGGAGAATGTTCTACAGGTGCTCTTCCTAGTGTTGGACTCCCAAGTCCACATCCTTGAGATATGTGAGCTGATCTCTGGCCCCAAGTGAGGTGAACACTGATAAAAAACACTTGAATGCTAATTGTTTTGATGCCACCACCAGTTCTTTTCCCACTAGCAACTCAGGCCAGTATTCACTCTGCTTTCTCAGGACACGTGGGAAGACTAAGGTCCTTTCACATGTGGCATTCCAGGGTCAGAGCCTGGTCTGGAAGTGGCTGAAGGTAGGGCAGATATGTTAGCAAGGAAACTATGCAGAGGGCCAGTCGCCCCAGGCAGGGCATGAGTCTTACTTACCCTGTTGTCGTCTGTCTCCACAGTGACCTTTCCATCTTGGCTACTCTTAATTTTCCCCTTGGCATACTCTTCCTTGGAGTCAACCACAAAGCAGTAGGTTTTGGCATCAAAAGGCTGATTCTGAGCCTCGATCCTCTCCTTTTCTGACTTCCGGAGGAAAGGAGCGGCTATGCCGAACACTTCCATTTCAGTGTCACTACTCATGGTGTCAGCTGCAAGACAAACCCACTGGTGAGCCCCACTGCCAGGCACTAGGCAGCTCTCATCCCAACTCAGCCTCCACTGCCACCTTTTGGTTGTAGGAGCCCTCAAAGCAGGGCCCTGGAAACCAGGCTGTCCTTGTGCCCAGCGAAGCTCCATCCAAGGTTTTATTTCTGGAAAAACCAAATTGGCACACATCTTTGGAGCTGCTACTATGTGCCAAAGGCATGGATCCTCTTCAATCCACATGCCTCAGTTCCCTCGATTTGGTAAAGGGGCATTAGAAGTGAGTGCCCAGGGCTTTGTTTTCCTCTGAAAAGTCCAGGTGTGGCAGAGGGAACATTTAAAAATAAACACCATGAAGAAATAAAGGCTTTCTTCAAAGAGTGTTCTAAATGGGAAATGGCGAAGGCAGTTTTGAACCGTTTTTGAATCAAGGTGTCTACATCCTCACGAGAGGAAGCCAGGCCTCTGCTTCCTGTGGTTGCTAAGAATAGAAGAGCCTCCAATGACAGCATCACTTGGAAAGCTCCCCCAGTGCTGCCTCGCCTCCCGGCTCTACAACCTAATCTTTGGCACCTAAGCCCTCCAGTTCCCCAAGGGCTGCTGGGAGGAGAGAGTGACAGGTGACCTGGGTTCACCTGAAGACTTCCAGAAGCCTAGGGATTCTCACCTAAGTCACACCTGCAGGAGGACAGCAGAAGGCAACAGTAGGCGGGAACCACAGGACCTGCAACTGCACACACACACAAGCACAGACGCTTAGGGACACTTGGAGTGTCTGGCTGCTTCGAATTGGTGCTTGAGCAGAATTAAGTAATAAAGACAAAGTACTAGTCATTTATAAAGAGCCTTTAGCCAGAGGCAAGCTGGAAGGTCAAGGCCACCAACTGCCTGCACTCTGGCTCCCCCCACCACCACACACACACTGCCACCTTGGCACCTTGTTCTGTCTACAGAATCAGGCAATGATTCTAAATGGACAGATCCCTGATAAGAAGCTTGTGCTATCAGGTGGGGGCATGTCCCTGGTCATCTACAAACAGGAGCCATCTTTTGAGATTGGTTAATTTGTACCTGGTGACCACTGCCAGTGTGATCTTGAAGGGACAGGCATCTGGCAGATTTCAGCCCCGGTGGGGAAGGCACCATGTCCATTGGCCCACCCCGTGGGTCAGGCAACAGAAGAGTGTCAGACCATGGTGGACAGGTATACAGATACCCAATGGGATCCCAGCCAAAAGGAGAACAGTAGGAGGAGGAAAGAGCTGCAGGACCCCAGCTTTGGGTAGAACCCCAGTTGGGCTTTTGGATCACATCTAATTCTATGAAGGCCTCTTGGAAAGAGAAATGAGGCACCACCTTACCAAAGCCAGGCAGGGTCACAGCCCAGAGTGGTGGGCCACACCAGTGTACTCCAAGCAGCAGAGATTGAAAAGAGCCACTCAAGAGGACCCTGTGACTTACCTCTGCCCACGAGAGCGAGCCACAGAGGGGCAGCTGCTCCCTGGGCTTTTATAGGTCCCTGCTAACCCCCTCAGCTCATTCCTTCTCTATATTTGGAAAAAGAATGACCGACACCACAGGCTGAGAACCAACTCCTTCCACACGTATTTTTTGTCATTGCCAAGGGAAAGGTATATATAGAAATGAGCAGAATCCATAACCATTTTTCCAACTGTAGAAAGTTGGGAACTTGAGATGCCTTTCTCTGAACATGGGGCTGGTGCTTCTCCACCAGATGGGATGGAATGAACTTGCTGCGGGGGGCCAGCCTGACTTCATTCTTCAGTCCACCTCCCTCCCAAGTCAGTGGAAGCCCCTACCTCATGGGAATAGGGAACTTCAGTCAAGCGATTTGCTCAGAAATCTCATCACATGGGAAAGCAAATAAAGCAGAGGAGGAAAAAGTTGAAATCCTCCTTGAATTTTGAGCGAGACCTCTATAACAATAGAAGTTTTGTGTCAGGGATGTGTGATTGTAAAATCTGTGCTAAGGATAATTAATAATAATAATCCTTCTCCCGCTCCTGTCTCTCTATGTAGCCTTCCACCTCAGTGTCATCATTAACTTAATCCTTTCTTAAGTACCAGTAGGACCAACAAGTAAATTAATGACAAGGAGCTATGCTGCCAGCCAGTGTTCACAGCAACAGCTGCTTAAGGGCCTGTTGTTATTAAGATATATTTCCAATTAGGAAAGACCAGCTGCCAGCCTAGATGGAGGGTCAAGGGGAATGCAGAGGCCTGCAGAGAAAGGGAGGGCAGGCGTTGTCTCACAAATGTGGTCATTTCTAAATCAGGATTGGAAAAGAAATCAAGCCTTAAGAGAAGAATAAGGATGTATTTGAAACTCTTGTCCATTCCCATTCTACTTTTTGTTTGTTTGTTTGTTTCCTTGACTGAATTTTTGGGAGAGTACTGGGTGGGCGTGCCATGGTTGTTTATTCTAAAGAGAACTATTGGTCAACTTGTCCACCTTGAGAATAAGAACTGCCCCTCCCATCTCCACTCATACCCAGCCCAGATGAAGAGGCTGAATGAGGAAGGGGAATAGGACTGCAGTCCTCATGATGAAGGGGCAATTATTAAATACCCTCTGTATTCTTGCCCCTAGTCAGACACAAAAGTAGCTGGGTATGGTGGCACAAGCCTCTGGTACCAGCTACTCAGGAGGCTGAGGTAGGAGGATCCCAGTCTGAGGCTGGCTTGGGCAAAACCAAGAGACCCTATTTGAAAAATAACTGAAGCAAAAAGTACTTGGGGCATGACTTAAATGGTCAAGCATGAGGCCCTGAGTTTAACTCCCCATACTGAGAAAAGAGAAAAGAAAAGAAGAATCAGATACAACAGAAGTAGAAGAAACAGCCTTCCTCTGCAGAGATTATATTTTAAATGATGAGTCATGTGTCCTGTAGAGAGGCATTTTCAAAATTTAGGCAATTTCAGATCAAAGTGGCATCTATTTATCAACTGCCAGATCTGCAAAGGCCAGGTAAGGTAAGTGGCAACCTACAGAGCACGTGAGGAAGGACTTGCTAACACATACAGGCCTGCCTCACCAGTCCTCCATGGAATCGCTCCCTCTTACCATGCTCTCTTCCTCCAATTTGAACCAAAATGCCTCTTACAGCGCTGTCACTCCTAATGTGTCCATCCGTGTGCTGAAAGCCTGCCCATTGACTCAAGCAGTCATGTAGTTGGCTGGCTATGTCCTTGGGAGACTTGGTTAGGACAGCCATGGGACAGCTGGAGGTCACCTAGGGGACCAAGACATAGTTTGAGGAGCCCTGGCCACATCTCACAGTGGCACACGCAGGGGAGGCCATGTGGTGGGGACATGGATGTTTACAACCGCTTCTTAAAAATCCAGAGTCCTGTTGGGAGGGACTTTTCAGAATTGAAATCAGGGTGAATTTTACTTTTTCCTTTATAGTCATGAGCTTACCCATCTATCTGTATTGCCAAACCTACCTCTAGGAGACAGAAAAGAAATATTCCATACAAGGTTGCTTAGAGTTCCTAAGAGAGCACCCAGGTCATATTATTCGATAGTGCCTACTACGAGCTCTAAATGCTGGGGAGCCTCTCATCCCTGTCCTTTCTGCTTGCTCCCATCAGACTCTTTCATGCTCAGCAAGCAGATGCAGAGGATCCTAGGAGAAAAACATGGCGGAGTCATAGAGTGCAGCTGGGAGATCTTTAGCATAGGAGATAAAGAAGGCAGGGAAGGGAGGAGGCTTTTGTAGCTATGAAGAGGAGCAGTGCTAGGGACAATGCAGGTCTCAGAAATCCCAAGGAATACTGGAGTGACAACAGCAATCACAGCTCACCAGTTGGGTGTTGGTGGCTCATGCCTGTAATCCTAGCTACTTGGGAGGCTGAGATTGAGAGGATGGTGGTTCAAGGCCAGCCCAGGCAAATAGTTCACAAGACCTCATCTCCAAATTAACCAGAACAAAATAGACTGGAGGTGCGGCTCAAGCAGTAGAGCACCTGCTTTGTTAGAGCAAGGCCCTGAGTTCAAACCCCAGTCCCACCAAAAAAAAAAATTGTTTTGAAAGGGGGAGGGAGATAAGAAAGAGTAATAGAGGGAGTGAAGTTGATCAAAGTACATTATGTGGTTTTATGGAAATATCACAATGAAATCCCTTTGTATAATTAATGTATGCTAATAAAAAAGTGTCAGGAGACAGAAGTCCGGCCACTTGGGGAGAGGGAGACCTGCAAGGAGCGGCAGCAGCTGTGAATTACAGCAGAAAGAACACGGGGCTGAGAGTTGGCCAGGCCTGGGTATGATACCCAGCTCACCCGCTCCAAAACGGTAGGATGGGGACATTTTGCTTCTCAGAGCCCCTCTTTTCACGTCTGTGAAATGGGGGTGATATATCTGCCTCACAGACTAGTTATGTGCATTCAGTAGACTATTCAAACACCAGGCACCATGCAAGCTGTGTCTGGCACACGGCTGTTTGACAAAGGCATGCGTTCTATCTGAATGCACCAGTGCTGTATGACTGGCTTGCTAAGGGTGCCCCCGAGTAGATTATACAGAATATGTGTCTAATGAGGAGCAGGAACAAAATGGACATAATACATCTTTCTAAAGATATCCATCCAAAGAGAAGATCTTAAGACAAGAACTTCTTGCCACCTCAAGAGGCAGCTTTCAGAGGTAAACTGGATACTCTCCTGGCATGGAACTCTGCCTCTGATAAACAGGGGACAGATGACTTATTGGTATATTATTAGCCAGCTTTGGGGAACAGAAGGAGCCCTTGTTCTTTGAGCCATCAGCCAGCAAGAGCTAATCCCCTCAGCCAGGGCAGAGAGCTGCATTCACTATCATCTGGAAAAAAAATGAATGTGTCTCAAGAATGCAGGCCCGCTCAGGAGGCCGTGAGCCAGTCCCCTTATGATGCCCGGCCGCTTCCTCCCCTCCTGTTTGATGTCCAGTCCACCAGCACGGACACTGGGGCTCCCGGCATGCAGTCACATTCCTAAGGGCTGCTCTCTGC